GGAAATTAGCTCAACATAACACATAAGTAGGTAAATTCGCTCAAATTGATCCAATTGAATTATTTAGACTAGGATGGTTCAACATATTCAACCCACCTCAGACTCTAACCAAATCTAATTGAGCATCAAATCTTCCAATTTAGAACCAAAGGTAGGGATTCAATCCCAACTGAGTGTTTGTCACTATCCACTCTATTGTCCACACACTTTGGTAAACCTAACCACACCTGAATGGCGCAGATTTGGATATCTACACATGCAAGCATAACAAGATCCTTTAACATGCCATCTTCCTCCTTCAGCAAACTCCATAACAAAAGGATCACCTAAGCCGTCATTATCGCCAATGAAAAACATACATCTATTATGTGGTATGCCCAAAATGGGCAACTCTCCTCTCATAGCTAGAAGGTTTTCGTCAAACAAATTCAATCAAAGATCATGTCCGACCATGATTACTGAACTTCATTGCTCCAAAATGACCACAAAGGTTGCAGCCAGTCAGCCACCACTCTCGCATCCCCATAAATGCAAGCATTTGCAACCTCCCCAACACAACAGTACCACCAAGTTATTTCAAAAAATCCTTAAAATATATTACAATAAAGCTCTCTCTTTTATTGATGGTAATGCCGCTTACAACCTTCATTGTTGTGGGCCTTTCCCTTCGAGTCTTTAATGCCACACATGACCTTTGTAGTTATGATCCTTACCCATAAAACACGATGATGTCATCCATGGCCTTCATTGTTATGGTTCTATTGTAGGCGTATTGCTAAAAAAAGACAAAAGAAGGAAGCTCATGGGTTAAAGAAGAAACTAAATATCCAAATGATAGTACAAAAAAAACAAATCCTCAAACACCATCGTTCTACTGCCAAAACTTGAACTTCGAGACATCCCTCAGTAATGACCACCACTACATGCCCTTGCCACCAACCACACTTACATTCAAGGCTAGAAATCTTCCAAGGCCTCTATGTAATGCAGCCAAAGCTGCATGAACGTCGTTTAAAAAGGGTGCATTATATATGGGAGCACAAACAAGAAACTGGGCCACCACTGCTCACTAATACCATGAAATAACTCCTTACAATAGCACAAACTCATGGGATACCCAAATTGAAATAAGCTAATTTCCAGGTAAACATAAAATTAAAAGAAAATGAACCAAGAGACATATCTTAAACGCCTCAACATCATCCATCATCATAGCCTCCAGCAAGACCTTCAGTATTCAATGATGCTCCTAAGGCCAACAAACTCGTCAAAATAGATGATTTAATGGATTTTTTGAAGAGGAAGGCAAACACAGTTTTGCAAAATCCTCACCATCTTATTTATTTTTCTTCATCCTAACCCTTAAATGGGAAAAGATAAGTACAATCCTTGTAATTCGTCACGTGATCAACAACCAGGATCCAATCTCATCATAATGATCGCCCCTGAGATCTTCTAATTAATCTCATTCCTTAAATAATTCAATGATCGATATCAGCTAATGTCACAAGCAACCTTTGCCAATACAACAGTTAAATTAAAACAAAAAAGTAATAATTTTTAGGCGAATCCCTGAGTGTCGCCTAGCAATAAGACCCCAATAATTAACCTTAGGACACGATTTCTAATCATTATTGCCTTAATCTGAGTCATGTTTTACCGGCCCCAAATGCGTGGGGTTTTGCCACATGTATCAATTGTTAAATTCAAACAAAAAAACTAATATAAAAATAAAAATAATAACATTACACACAAATGAATTCATAAAAAATAGAAAAAATAAAATTATGACTCCAATGAAAACTTGGTTAAGAAAGGTAGAGATAGATCTAAAAAGACTTGGTTAGAAATTATTATAAATGACCTTTCTTTACTAGATTTAAATGAGATTAACTCTTAACAAAACACAATGGAGGACAAGGATTCATGTAGCCGACCCAATATAGTGGGATAAAGGCTTGATGTTGTTGTTGTTGTGATGAGAACGATACTTTTTCAAATTCATGAAGTTTTAAATCAAAACCAATTTTATTTAAATTTAGGAAATAATAATTAAAAAAAGAACAAAAAGAATTTGAATAAGTTATAAGGGTTTCCCAAGGCCTTTAGAAATTATAATTAACCAAAGGGCAGCCCCAGATTACACAAACAGTATTTTAACACCCTTCTAATTATATAAATTGACAAATTGCCCTCATCATTAAGAACATTTAAAAAAATAATGGGAGATCAAAATTCTTAGTCATCTTTGCGTGTTAAGACAACAATGTCTTACCCAAGCTATAAATACCATCAATTAAATTACTCGAGCATGCATCAAACCACTAGGCCCGCTAAATAAGTCAAGGATTTCCCCAAGTATAAGCCCCAACAATTTAATCAATAAAGCTAGCATTGCGCCAATAAGCTCACTCAACTGTCTTCCACAAGAAAACAAGTCTCATCAATTAAATCAATCAAAACAACATAAAGCCACTAAGTATGCTAAATTCATGAGGCCATCCCCCAAGATACAAGCATCGACCTATGTTGCACCGATACGGATACGGCGACACGAATACGACATGATATGGATACGGGACATGTCAATTCTTAAAAATATAAGATACGGGTATGGCGCTGACACGGCATTATAGTTTATAAATCATACATAAACATTAAGAAAGCAATCAAAGCATAATATTTGAAATTACAAAAAAAATGACAACAACATCATTTGTAGCCTTGTAGTTTATCATATCAAAATATAAGTATTAAATGTCTAGTACAACAACAAAAGCATAAACATAAATTGTCTAGCACATGAAGTTTCACTATTCAATAGAAGGAATGATATGATTAGCTTCTTCAGTGGTTTGTTTTTGAACTCCTATATCATCTTCAAAAATATCATAGCTTCTAATTTTGGCTCATCAAGTGAAAGATTAGTAAATTCTAATATTCCCATATCATCAAGAGACTCAAATCCATCTCGGAAATGAGAAAACCTTGCTCACAGCCGCAGAAGTAAATACAATGCATCTTTTTTTCGGATTTCTTTTTATTTTTCAACGGACACGTGTATCGGATACGCGTGTCCTTTTGAAATTAAATAGTATTTTAATTGGATACGGCTTTGGCATATCTGATATGTATCGGTGGCGTATCGGAGGTGTATCCGTGTATCAGATACAACACGCCTTCACAAATAGGAGTATCGGTGCAACATAGGCATCGACAATTACATCAATCGAATCACAACAACGCCATTAAGCAATAAACTAATTGTGGCTTCTTCCAAGCTACGTGTTATATCAATTAAATCAATCGGGTCAACACTAAGCCATTAGGCCCAACAATTCAAAAAACTGACCCTTCATTAATTTGTACAACACATAACCACAACAAACTCTAAACTTAAATGGTAAACTCCATTAGCAATAAGCCCCTACTAATAAAAAAGAGCATTTACATGAATGTAAGACTTGTTATATTCAAATCAACCCACGTTAGAAAAAAAAATTCACTGGGCCAGTTATATCAATTAAGCTAGTGAAGAAATACCAAGCGTATAATTCAATCAAAATGTGATGATGTCAATTCATCAACTCAAAATTAATTAGCTTGAACAGGCCTTAAAATTTTCCAAGTTAAACCAATCAACCGCAATTCCAGGCGTCTTTAAAAGTGAACTTCGATCCAAAAAATCAAGCTGAAATGTACATTTGAAAAATCTTTTTAACAATTTTATTTTACAAACCATTTTTTAACTCAAGTTTCATTCAACTTTCATGTTGATTTTCAGAAATCTTTACAGTGAGGAGATTTTCACAACAGATCTTCTAGAGTATGATAATTATAAGAAAATTGTTGCATGCCCTTGTTAGAAGGGAAAAAAAAGACTATAATTCTCACAGCAGCTTTCAAAAACTCTATTTTTCTCATAATTGTTTCATAACTTATTTTGCAAACAACTGCAGCAATTCCAAATGGAACCTAACTTAACCAGATCCAAGACAAAACATGTATACAATAATTAGTTCACAATCTTAGTTATAATAGCCGCAAAATAATTGATCGATTCTCAAGAAAAATTGATCTAGCTTAATGTTTGAGATAAGGATATAACACGGATGTGCCCTAAGCATAAAGTCCCTTAATCTATTCGGGATACCTAAGATGAAAAAATATATGATTATTAATCAGGCTCCATCATGGACAAGGCATAAAACCCTCTAACTTATGGTAAACTGTGCCCACAAGGTAAACCAGACAACATAATCATAGATACTAATCAATTCAACCACTAATCACCCACACAATACTCAATTCAACGTGACTTCAAACAAATTAAATTCTAAAGATCAAGCAATATCATTAATCGAGAACCATCTCTATATGTGGAAACATATGAATTAACAATGAGGAATTGCGCCTATAAAATATCTCAATCATCCAGATCTAAATAACTTTAGAAATGGGTTAAGGGAGCCTCTAGAGCTTTCAAAACCCAAAACCAAGGCACTCATATGATAACATTTCTAACCAACTAATTTGACTGCACATTGATAAGTTATAATTTCCAAAAAGACATGTTTGGTTTAGTAAGCTCCTGCAATTCAATCACTTAATAGTGGTAACTTGTTGTTTGTGAACTAGAAGTAGATTAAAGAAACAAAACAGCCTCTCATGAAGAAGAAATAGGGTGAACTCACGTTATGCACGTTAAGTAATGGTTTCAATGTGAATGTCAGGGAAAGCAATAATGGAGAACACAACATCATGGAAATATTTTTAAAGAAAATCTTCAAAATAAGCAAGCAATCAAATAAGAAATCAGCATATACCCCCAATTCCCGTAGTCTTAATACAATGAAAAGGCTGCAGACAGATTAAGCTGTCAATGCAATGCTTGCACTCACACAAGAAGCATAGCTTATCAAATAATTGTAAATTCTCGTAAGGAGACCAGATAATCATGGCACACTGAGCCAAATCAATGTAAAAGATATCCTGCTTACCATGATATCATCACGCTCTTGTCTCTGATATCCTGTCAAACAAATGTGCAATGACTCGCTGCCAGGAATCCCATTCAAATCTCTAACAGGCCTATACAAAACCTGTATAATACAAAAGGGAAATGCAAGATACATAAGGGTAATTTGAAATAAAAAAAATGCAGCAACAGAAACAAATTACAAGAAAGAAAAAAACAACAGGACCTTTGTGGAATCTGCAAGCATCCCAAATCCCAAACTGTCATCAATCCACAATTCTGTAACCAGTATTTTTCCATCGTTCCTTGCTGCTACACAAATGGGCTCATCCTACATTAAAAATGGATACAACCATAAAGCTTAAAACATGAATTATCAACGATCATGAAATCAGCCTGAAAAAGATAGTACGGAAAACAGAAGAAATTAACTTGAAAAATTGCTACTTACAAAAACACGGCCAGATACAACCACATGGGTGCAACTGGAATCATAAGAGCCAACATCAACTCCACCTCGATCCACAAGCTCAGACCGGTACTGAAATGGTTTAATATTAGCCAAAATCACCAAACTAGCTCAATTTCTACAGCTTATTTTAATAGCTCCATGGATGGAGAACAGTTTTAGATAGATTTTATAGTAATGCTTGATTGAATCACAAGCATGCAAGCAGAAAACCAATTTAAAAAATTCTTCTGTTGACTATGATAAACATTACCATTATCCAAAATAAAAATAAGCTTTTTCTCCCTGATACTAGTTGCCTTGCATGCCAGTTGCTCCTACGGCTAAGTCATCCGACCAAATCCACCGCCAACCCATTCATTTATAAGGTGGATCTTTCCTCTCCATCATCATATAAATATCAAAGAGACAAACTAAACCAGGAACATGACAATAAACTAATCTATTTATAGCATGTTTTTAACCAAAAATGATTATGAAACATTTGCATGTTGAAGCATACTATGTCCTAAACAAAATTTTGTACTTAAGGAGACAGGCCCAATATTCATAAGCATCACTACTGATGAAACTAAACATACTGCTCCCCCTAACATTCTAGTAGTCTAGTATTCCTGTTTTAAATATTCAGAAACCAACCGACAAGCACAGCCTGACTACAACAACAACAATAACAAATCTTTATCCCACTATGTAACAGCCTGATTACAAAATAAAAATCCCTGTCAGGGACCTCATTAGTCACTGTTTAATATATTTTCAAATAAAAATCAGTTTAATAGACTACTCCCCAATTGGACTATGACCATATAAAATTCAAGACCAAACAATATACATGACAAGAGTAGGAGATAGGGAAAAGAGTGCCATGTATTTAACACAACTCCATTATCCTATGCAAAAATCAATAATTTAAATCTGATATCCGCTAAAATATTGAGTACAAGTCATCCAAAGCTATTAAGTCAATATATATATTCAACTCAAAGATCAGCCAAAGCCGTCATTGCTACTCGCCAAAATCTCCAAGCAAATTTGTTCATTTTACAAAGTTTCTGATGTGAAACTACTAGGAGTTACGTGCGAAATCAAAAGGAACAATCGATTAAAACTTAGCCAATTAAATATTATTACTAGCACATAAAAGAAGACTATGAATCTAAAGTAATCAACTTGCTTAGGCCAAAGACATGCAATTGAGATTAACCAAATAATTCAATCCAAGTTCAAGACAAAAGTAGATGTTGGGTACTCATAACATAACCCAACGCTTAACAACGAGGGATTCACCTTGATGACCTTCTCTCACAATTATTAGTAGGCTTTTAGCGGAGAATAGCGAGCCACGTGAAGAAAAATATTACCATGAAGGAGGCGACGCCAAGAACCTTCGTTGTTGGGAGGGAGGCCGAGGGGAGGAGACGTCGGATGGCCGATGATGATCCAACGACTTAGTGGATGGTGCTCTTCGATTGATAATACGAGTTGATATCGGATGCGGTCTATGTATCCTCCACGGTCTCATCGTGTCCAAGTTGTACGTCAAAGAACGGGGATGCGAGAATGTTCGTCCGTCCTTGTTCGTCGAAGATGAAACCGTGGTCGATCTCAGGATCGGCAATGCATTATTGACATGAGAAGGAGAGAGCACAAGGAGTAGACAAAGGAGAGCAATGTGTAGTGGAGAGGGGGTGGCGGCTTGAGTAAGAGGAAGAGGGGTGGGGTCGGCTAGAAGAGATGGGGAAGGTGGCTAGGGCTTGAAAGAGATTAGGTTAGGTTAGGGTGGTGGTGGGATTTAATCCAAATCTGAAATTAATTTCAGATTTTGATTAAATATGGAGGGAAACTAATTTGAATTTTGATTTCAAGTCAATTGCAATTAATGCCTTGAATGAGCATTAATGGAGATGAGCCCTGGTAGGGCCGGCGGCATGAAGAGAAAGGGAGGGATTATGAGAATTTAAATTATTTCCAAACAAGCTCGGGTAATTTGGGGGGAAAATAATGATTACTCCTCAAATTAAATTTCGTTGGATTTCGAATTTGAAAACTTTCCTTTTTTAGATTTTGCAAATAAGGAAAGTTTTTGAATTTCAAAACTCACTAATTCCTTCCTTTAATGCTAGATCTAAATTAAGGAGTCATTATGATGATTGAAATCATCATAACGGCTTGGATCATGAGGGTGGTCGGCGGCCAAAGGGAAGAGGAGATTTTGCCGTCGGGTTGAGGTGGGCCTTGATGGTGGTTGGACTTGAAGTGGGGAAGCTAGTGGATGAAACGGTGTGAGGGATTAAGCCACGGTTGGGGAGGGGCTTGGAAGGGGACAGTGGGTGGTGAGGGGAAGGAGGATGAGGGAAAAACAAAGATAGAAGAAGAAATTAACACGAGCCGTGGACTCTTCCAACAACTGGTGGGCCTTGCACTTGCTCACCTCGAGCTCTCTCTCCCTTCTCTCTAGCTCTCATGCAAGAAGAAGAAGAAACAAATCAAATTGTCATTAATCATTCATCAAAAAAATTACAACATATGAGACCACTCTATATAGGTCTCCACTCATGAAAAGAAAAGTACCAAACTGCCCTCTGGGCTACAATAACATGACAGCTCCCCAAAGGGGTAAAAATGGAAAACGAAAAATATTAAACAACATGAAAATTACTAAATTGCCCTCCGGGCAATAATAACATGACAACTCCCCAAAGGGGTAAAAAAGAAAAAATGATCAAACTAAACAGCATATCATGAAAGATGAGTCAAAAGTAGAGGCGCTGAATCGTGGCAGTAGATCTGCAATTCCTTCGTCGATAAACATGTCTGTAGTGTCTGTCGATGTCCTCATCATTCTCCCCAGGTGGGAGAAAACTCAACCCTGTCAAGTGAGTGTCTGTAGAGCTCTTGTACCACTCTAGGAGGTCAGGATCTAGACTCTGTAGCTCCTCTCTGTCAACCCACGTATCCTCTATCGCTGGGGTCCCTTTCCAATGAACTAAGTATCTTCGACGTCCACCTTCTTCTGTGGTAATGATCTCATCATCTAATATGTCTTCGATCCTCTCTGCATTGGGTAATTGAGGCAAATTGGGGAGTGGGGGTAGGCTTGGGATCTCACTAGGTGGGTTTGCACAAGGCTCATTTCCAAGTGGATTATTGGGGTTAAATATCGATCCCTCGAAGGTTACTAGATCTTCTATTTTAAACATGGGGTTAATGTTAAAACCTTGGGGAAGGTCCAGCACGTAAGCATTACTATTTATCTTTGAAATTATCTTGAACGGTCCGGCGCTTCTCGCATGCAACTTCTTTGCGGATCCTGGAGGAAAACACTCCGGATGGATTCGCACCATCATAAAGTCTCCAACTTCAAATTCTTTTGCTCTTCTTTTATAATCAGCAATATGCAAAGGTATAATAATGATTAGATGGAAAGTGAAAAATAAAAAATAAAACGAAAGACAAAAGTTATATATATATATGTATAAAAATAAAACATATGTAAATGTAACAAGAAAAATGTATTGAAAATTACAGGAGTTCACCCCCGTATGGTACTAGTTGGGGAAGCAATGTACCCGTGCACGTTAAAAAGGAAAAAGAAATGAAAATAAAAATAGTTGTACCTCAAGTGGAACATTTAGACGATGCTCCTAAATAAATGGAAATGGGGGAATGGATATACTAAGGAATTGAATGTCAAAACTATTAAAAGAAATGTTAAAATAGAAATGCATGGTTATAATTGAATACCAAGAAAAATGACTTGTGTGATTATAAGGTTTATAATGCATGAAAGATGTATGTGTATCGATTTGATATTAAGAGAGAAAGTTGTATGTAGAATATATATATATATATATATACACTATTTTATAATTATCAATGGTTACACACTGAATTTACTTTGTAAACTCATTACATTAAATAAATGTTTTCATGTATGATTCCAAAGTTTTATAAATGGCCGAAAGGGAAGAGTTCATTTATAGAAGACGGCGTGTAAATGCCAATAGGCAATTTATGATTTAATACAAATGTTAAGTATTTGAGAAAATTTGTTAGTGGCTCTTCAGTTGAATGGAGAAAATTTTATGTTGTATTGCTTATGAATTGAAATGATTTGATCCTACCGTCCGACTTTTAGTTTCTGCCTTGTTAAATCGAGCATCTGGGCCAAGTCATGACAAAGGTAATTGAAAGTACATGAAAGAAACTATTACACTAATGATTTGAAATTAGCAGTTGTGATTTTTGCACTCAAAATTTGGATGCATTATTGATATGAAGCCAGGTGCGAAATTTTCACAGATCATAAAAGCCTTTAATATATATTTTATCAAAAAGAGCTTAATCTAAAGCAGAGACGATGGTTGGCACTCATTAAAAGATAATGTCTTGGATATACAATATCAACTTGGGAAAGCAAATGTAGTTGCAGATGCATAAAGCAAAAAGAGTTTTTGACGTGCAAATTGATTGATTACTCAACATGAGAAAATAATTAGAGATATGAAAAGATTAAAAATTTCGACGATTAATCAAAAAGATACAAAAGTCATAATATTAAATCAACTAATGATTTAATCCACTTTGAAAGATATAATAAACAATTTATTGTGTCAAGATATAAATTCCAAGAAATCATAAAGAATGTGTAAATATGAGAGTTAAACAATTTTGTATTTGATGATGAAGATTATTAAAGTATAAAGGCAGAACCTGTATTCCAAATGTTGATAATTTGATAGAAGAAATATTATAGAAAGCTCACCAATTTAAATATAAAATTCATCTAGGTAGTACAAAAATGTATCAAGATTTGAGAACATTATTTTGATGACCATGATTAAAAAGGAGTGTTGCAAAATTTGTAGCAAAATAGATTCTCTGTCAGATGATTAAAGCAAAACATCAAAAGCCAGATGATCAACTGCAACCATTATTGATACATGAGTGGACATGGGACGAAATTGTAATGATTTTGTAATTGGATTATCTGTTAAGGCATAGTCGAGATGTTATATGAGTTATTATAAATATATTAACAAAATCTGCCCATTTTGAACTTAGGAGGATTTAATTAGATTATGTGTATAGGATTTTGGAGAAAATTGGAAAACTTATATACATTAATTGAATTTGCATACAAAACAATTTTCAATCCAGCATTGGAATGGCACCATACGAAGCACTTTATGGAAAGAATTGCATAACACCCTTGTGTTGGGAAAAAACATGTGAAAAAAAATAATAATTGGTACTAAACTGGTGGATGATGCTACTAGCAAAATCAGATTCATTAGAGATAGATTAAAGCCAGTACATGATAGGCAGAGAAAATATTATGATGCAAAACACAGGCTAGTTGAGTTTGAAGTTGGAGAATTTATTTTCATTAAAGTCAATCCAATGAAAGGCGTGCAGCGATTTGGAAAAATAAAAAAATTGAGTTGACGATTCATTGGTCCTTTTGAAATTATTGAGAGAATTGAAAAAATATGGCCTACAGATTGGATCTGTCAGTACATATGCAAGGGATACACAATGTGTTTAACATATCAGTACTTCGGAAGTATGAATTAGATGAGCCAAAGAGAATCCGATCAAAATCTATTGGCTTGCAGTCTGATTTGAAATATGTTGAAGAACTTGAAAGAATATTAGAATATGATGTGAAATAACTAAAGAATCAGAAAATACTATTTGTAAAGATTTTATTAAAACATGGAATATAAAGAGATACCACCTAGGAAAAAGAAGCAGAAATGAAAGTTCAATATCTCAATCTATTCAATTAAGGTATGTATAGTTATTCTTGATATTATATTTTGAAGACAAAATTTTTATAAGCAGAGGAGATTCTAAGAGCCAGTTTAAATAGATTGGTTCAATTGAATCAGCCAGCCCTAACCATTAAATTGCGCAAGCAGGGAACGAAACCGAACATAAGCGAACGCAAGCTGCAGACCAAGCGGCCCGCATGCGTACACGGAGGCTTCCAACGTGGTCGGTTCCCAGTTCTGAGTGAAGGAACGCGTATGGGAGTGAACAAGAACGACTCCACGTGAGTCATATCTTATGTTTTCTCACTCCTACTGGCTACAGGAGAAAATATCGTGAGTTCTATGTCGAAGGAAACCGACCGAGAGAAAAAGAAGACGAAGAAGAGGAAGATAAGTTCGTATATTTTTTGTGCTTTTGGAATAAATTATTCGTGATTTAAGTCTGAGAATAAAATCTATGGTTTAACTTAACACGGACGAAGAAAAATTGTGAGAGAAAGAAGAAAAAATTGTGTTGAACTTTTTCTTTGTAAGTGATTTCAAATTACTTATTTTTTTTATTCAAATTTGAAGAACAAAATATATAAAATTTAATCTATGATGGAAAGCAATAGTGTGTATTCTTTTCGATGGGACGGAAATTAAGTTGGTGAAAGTTGATTTCAGTAAAGAAGAACCAAAATTAAGGAATCTAAACATACGAAAGCAATTAAAGTGAGTAATTATTTTTGTTTACATTATTTTATTACTAGGTTTGAAAGTTATCATGTTTATAATGATGGAAGCTAGCATTAAAGATATAAATTAATATAAGCACATATATATATATATAATATATATGAATAATGCATATGTTTAAACTTTCATGAAACGAATAAGGAAATTATAACATACAAATAGGAAGCATAAAAGCAAAAGGAAAAGGAAAAAGTTGCATGCATGCAAATTATAGGAGTTCACCCCCTTATTTTACTGGTTGGAGACGCAACGTACACGTGCACGTTAAATTTTAAAGAGATTTGAAAGGGAAATGGTTGTGCCTACATTGTTACAAATTTTAGATGTTGCTCCTGTACTAAATGAAAGAGAAAAAAAGAATAAATGAGAAAATGAAAAATGTCTGAATGTTAAATTAAAAGAAAAATTAATACATTATTTGATAGATGTAAAATAAAATTCTATACTACATGAATTGATATATCTACAAATATAATAGGAAAGAATGATAAAATGAAATGATGCATTTTTTTAAATATATAATTATTATGTTACAATTGTGATTATCCACTAAGTTTATTTTGTAAACTCAACATGTTGAACTAAAATCTTTCAGGTAAGTCCTCAAAGCAGTAAAAAAGGCTGAAAGAGAGTAGTATGTCTACATAAAACGACGCTAAAATGAAAACAGGTAATATATAATTTATATGTAAGTATTAAGTTGTGAAAAATTATGATAACGGCTCTTCAATTTTATTTGGAATGCAGATGATAAACTATGTTGAAATTAAAAATAATGCTATAACCATCCAACCGTTCGTTCCCACCTCTTTAATTCAAGTATCCGAGTCGGGTCGTGACAGATCAGCATCCACAATAACACCAAAACCAATGACCACCATGATTGTCGCCCAAAGAGGTGTAAGCAAAAAGTGAGAATATTTTATAGGGAAAAAAAGGGATAGGTTCACCGTGTCAATATCTAATATTTAATCATTCATCTAAGAGCATTAATGTCACACTCTATTTTAACACTCCCCCTATAGTCAATCTAGAGTGTAACAGAGAAGGAGAATCTTGAGAGACATATCTCTTACTAACACCCATCTTGGCATACTTCTATTATAATCAAGTGAGTAGGAAATTGCCTATCCAATCTATCCCAACACAATAAACTTTTACATCTTAATTTGAATATATATTTCCTAACTGGAAGTATATGTAAAACACATCAAATAAAATACAAAACTTGCTAAACTTTCAATAATCAATAACATTATATACCCGAAAGTTTGTCTATACAACTTGTACTCTGACCTCTATATACAACTAAAGAATATGTACACAAAAAAGTGCAATCAACCTGCGCAGTGTCTCACTAGCTCCTTCCCCTTTCTTACAGTACAATCATTGCTAATGAGCTAGAGCTGAATGAAATATCTAAACATAGTGTAAGGAATATGAAGCATATTTACAATCAATTATAAACAAAAATGTGGATTTATATAATTAGCAAAAGTTGTACAAAATATCATTTTCAATTATGTTTATTGTTCAATACATTAAACAAATCATATAATAACTATAGGTTTTTGCACACTTACAACTCTCTAATTCAAAGTTGGATTCGCATTCCTAACTTTTAGAATTGAGAGCTGCTCTCTCATTCAATATTGGGTTTGAATTCCTGTGTAGAGTACCATCTATACAGCTTTCCCCATGACTTATCTCGTCAGGTTTTTCATCTTTACATGTGCAAATTTATTCCTCATAATTTTTTACATGTATTATTCAAATATAACCTTTTTGGTAACGTTGTGTCTCAACCCTAACTTATAAATAAAAGGTTTGAGGATGAACTTAACTCATTCAACCACTGACACTAGTCATATACTTACTGAAAAATTAGAGTTTCTCACTCTAAGTTTAATATCTCACTCATATTTGCTCATATTCTATCAATTCTTGTTAGCAAGATAATGCTATCACCTATGAATAATTTCAGATTCAACGTTTTTGATAAGCAAAATCAGCTCGATATTCTCCCCAGCAATACTAAAACATATGTAGACAATGAAACCTAAACCGAATATCCAAAACAATCACAATTGCCAAGCTAGCAACCAAAAAGATATATTATTAACCTTTCTCAATCCAATAATACAAAATCGAATGCGTAGAAAATACACAAGCAATACATAAACGCAACTAACATGATAATTAGCAATATCAACCATACAATTCACATATACACTAGATTAGGGCAGAATTTAGAAATCTAAATCATCTAGCTCACTTTGGATGAATGGATTAATTTTGGCCTTTTTTTCAAAATCACTCTGATTTTTAGGGGAAAAAAAAAGAAGCAACTCCGCCAAAGGAAACAGAATGATGGCTGTGATTCGCCAACTCTAACTCTAAATCCCAATACGGAAAAAATGAGTGGGCAGTAGGACGTGAGGCAGACCTGGCCCTCGGAAACGGAATCAAATCCGAAAAGAACGAAGCGGACGCCAGTAAAGATCTTCTTCGGGCTGCTCGACTTCCCAGCACTGCCTCGTTCTCGGAGCATTCTTATCCTACAATCCAAGCCCACGATGCAGGGAACAGGAGCAATACCTAGTTCGATGAATTAGTGGATAGCGACGTAATCCAAGAAGAGTAATGTGCTAACAAATTTCTCCTCTCTCTCTCTCTCTCTCACTCTCTCACTCTCTCGGCGATCACTAGGGTTTTAGTGCGTTCCGTGCAGAGGAAGAAGGCCAACAAAATGGAGGGAAATTTTTTACCAGCCCTTTATTTTTCGTAATTTGTGGGACAGATAAAATGATTTGATTTTAGTTTATGGCGGTCTTTCGCCTTTCGCACACGTGTCACTGCACCTCTAATATTTAAAAAAAACAATTTATTTACATCAGCATTTATAAGTGGGTGTAAAAGCCTCAAATAAACCCTTAATTTTTAGACAATTTCAATTCTTCAAATTTAATTCAATTATTTTGCTTTTAAAAAAAAAATTGAGAAGTTATTTTTTATAAATAATTTGTTTAAAATGTGGCAGTTAAGAAAAAAAAAATTTCTTTTGAAATATTATTATATTCAGAAAAGATTTTAAAAAATTTATATTTTACATAATAATTTTAGAATTATTTATATACACAGTTAGAGCCACTTGCAACAAATAGAGATTTTAGGGCCCGTCAGGTTGACTAGCGGTGGTGGTGGAGGTGGTCGACAATGGCGGGTGGCAGCGGTAGGCAGTCGGGGGTGGCAATGGCAACCAGTGGTGCACGGTAGGGGTGGCAACGGCAGACAGGGCAACAAATAGTGATAAGAGAGCTTGCTTATGATGAAAATAATTTTCGTTCAAAACTGAACGAGTTTACTTTACCTCTAAAAAGAGCTAAAACATTTCACACTGCATCCCTTTAATTTTACTCTGAATTCTTTTTTTTCGTGCAACAAAATACTAATATTTGCAAAAGTCATGTTACCATACTTCAACCCAAACAACCTCTTAGGCTTCGTTTGGGACGGCTTTTTTCCTGCTTCTTGAAGCAGACTTTTAGTATAAAAATTAAATTTTTTGTACTAAAAAGTTGCTTCAAGAAGCAGTGAAAAAACCGTCCCAAATGAAGCCTTAGTCTGCTCTCAAGTCTCAACTTAAAAATAAAAAATAAAAAATAAATAAATAAATAAAGCATGTCTAAATGTCTAATGACATAGACCGGTGAAAAGCAATAAAGTTATATAAAAGTTCAACAAAACAATTTGATTTTTTTAATGTTAAAAATAAGTTTAATTATAATCAGGAATATTAACATTTTTAATGTGAATTTATAGCAAGTTATTTGAGAGGAAAAAAACGTGAGATGCTACAAATTTAAAATCATATTTTATAATTATTGCGTGCTCGAAAATTCACTACAATAATGAGAGAAACTTTTGCGACTTGACTTTATATGAAAATCTAACACACATATAAAAAAAATTAAGAGTGTTGCGGGCTAGAATATATGCAGCTATAGAGTTGTAATTCTACGTCTTAGCATTGCACAAATATCTAGCTCACACATAGATAACACAAGATTTTTTACATGGAAAATCCTAGAAAGGGGAAAAACCATGGGGCCTAGCCCAGTTGAAAATATTTCACTAGAAATTGAGTTGAGTACAGTGGGCTAACTCGTCCCTGAGGGCAATCAGATTACAAATGTCAACCGTATGGTAGAAGTCTAGTGTTAAATCTGATGTCACTTGGAAGTTGGTGCGTCAGCTAATAGTCCGACAGTGACTTGGCAGAACTCTGGCGTCAGTTGATGATCTGGCGGAGTTTAGGGCCTCAAGTGGTGGTCTGGCAGAGTTCAGGGCCTTAAGTGGTGGTCCAATGAAGGTGAGGGCCTCAGGCGATGGTCCGTCCGGCGAGGGTGAGGGCCTCAAGTGGTGATCCAGCAAAGGTGAGAGCCTCAGGTGGTGGTCTGGCGAGAGTGAGGGCCTCAGGTGGTGGTCTGGCGAGGGTGAGGGCCTCAGGTGATGGTCCGACGAAGGTGAGGGTCTCAGGTGGTGGTCCGATGAAGCAACAATGTCAGATTGTGGCCCTGCGGAACTCAGGCGGTAGTCGAGGAGGAGCTTCTTCCTTCTCTTGCTTCTCTTTTCTACTTACTTGGGTCCCTTTTCAAGAGAAATGAGGGGTCTATTTATAGATTTATGGAGTGGCATGACCTGTAAATATGTGAGAGATCAAGGGTACATGGGGAGTGGTTGGATGGACGGTCGATGTCGAATCCCTTCATCATGGACCATTTGATGGACATTTGAATGTCTTAGTGATGTCGGAATTCAGTGATCTTAGGCTCATTGGATTTGTCTCGTTGAGACGCTCGATTCGACTAGAAGCACGTTATATTTGAAAATTGTTTGATAATCCAAATTGTGGTTTGAATCTTCCAATAGCGCTTCTAACCTTTGATTTGGACCTGCTTGGGCTCGGATTGGGTTGGACTTGATGTCGTTCGGTTCGTATTCTCGAGACGCTCAATTCAACTATAAGTTTGTCAAAATCAGAGTTCGGATGGTCCCAACTTAATTTCAGAAGTTTCCAACTTGATTTTGCATTGAGATTCATGCCGGATCACGATAATTTTTTGATGGCATATCAAAGAGAATGCATGAGAGACTAAAATATTTATTTTAAATTTTTGGAAAGAGAGGAAAACTCGTGATCTGGATCAGTTGAATTAATTCCACTATGAGAAAATTGATTACAAAAATTCGCCAATCCTCACATTGGATAAAGCAAGATGTCATGAGAAAGATTGCTGTTTTTTTTTACTGTTTTATTTTTCAGTTTGTAATCATAATTTTTGTTTAGTCACTATTTTTTCATTGCTTAAAAAATTGTACTAAAAAGTTGTTTTATGCAATATCTTTAAAAGTTATATTCTCGACAGCAACTTTACAATGTAGTAAAAACTCTGTCCCAAATGAAGGCTTCATTTTGACACCAAAAATTTGATAATATAGATAATTAAGTTATCAAATTTTAATAAGATAATCTTGCATCCATATTTTATATGACAATTTTGTCACTCTTATAGAGAATGACAAGTTTGCTTTCCTTCTAAGGGGCCCATAATAAATACCATCATAAATTTCTTAAAATGGTTGAGAAACAAACCTAACAATTGACTAGATAAATAGACATTTATCTATAATAAAGGACCATTAGTCTTATGAGTTGATGATTTTTCAATAATGCCATTAGCCATATTTATTTCATATAAAAGCTCAATCATCCCTATAAAAAAATGAAATTTTATTATCTTTAAAGGGGACCATAATAATTAAGGACATGATTTCAATATTACACATTTCACTTATTAAGATAACTTATATTTATTTGTAGAAACCGCTATTAATTAACGCATCAATGAGATAGTATGTTGTAACACCCAAGACCTAAAGGAGAAATTTGAATATACTTTTCCTATATGTTTATTAATTAACAATTGAATTTCTCATTTCATCGGAGTGAACTAATCATCCAAAATAATGTAAAGCATACATCCAAGAAGTATATATATAATATTCTTTCGAAAATACTTATATCACAATAGCTCATATTACAATAATTACAACCACATATTTAGGTGCAACTCTAAAGTACAAAAGATTTAAGTAGTACACTTCCAAACCTCCGTACCTTACAAAATCAGACACATGTAATAATCACTTATAACTCCCAATTACCACCTCCCACCTGCTTGAGTCATGTGCAGAACAGAGTTTATCTCAACCCAGAGTTATATCAGAGCTAGAGCAGAACAAAGTAATCAGTCAGAAAGAGATATTTGCAATGGGCTCAAGCAGAGAATTTCATAGTATACTTCTTATACACAACAAAGGTCTATAATGTCAAGAAATGCAAATAATGCAAATGCAATATATAATTGGCGAATCCACAACAAATGTCTTCTTATGAGTGAGCAAAATTCTCATTCACCTTAAGGAAGCAATAATCTTCAATATCGCCGGTAACAATGTATTAATTGATACAACTACATCAATTTTCCATAGCACTAGGATCCCATAATTAGGTGTGTATAATTTCGGGGTCATCAATTTGAATTTATGAAATTATTACGTGCAGTCACCGGACGCCGTTAAGAGGCCAATATCAAGACGCGACACATCACCAATTTACTGCATGATATTACTATATGCCGCTATGTATCAGATGATGTGGCACGTTCTAATTAACCTCCCGACAATCCGATGACCACACGTAATAATTTCACCATCAATTTCCCTCGCCGTATCTCTCTTCTCTGCTTACAAACAATTTTATGATTGATTGCAGCTAGTCAAATTCCATCCTTGTCGAGTCGAGTTGATGACGAAAAACATCATTTTTTAGGTTACTCTAACATCTATCAAATTTTGACTCATCACTAGCAGAAAGATTTCACCAAGAAAGACAATCATTTCCAAGTAATTCAACCTTAAAAATGCAAGGAAAACAAACTAGAAGAAGAAGAAGAGGAAGCAGCCAGTCACATATCAATCAATCCCAGTAGGACATATCAGCACGCACGTTTAATCCATGTAAAATGACTTTCCATTTGTATGATACCGACTTATGAATGCAGAGATAGGATTTAATTTATTATAATTTTTTTTTATTTTGTTGGCTGTAATTATTTATTTACACAAATTTCCAAGATTCTACAAATCTCTTAATATTGTAATGAATTTATTTGGATACAAAATATGAGTATAAATTATTGTTTATTTATTTTTTTTAGACAAAAAATTTGTTTGGGATATCTGCAACATTTTTAAAATAATAAAAAATAGTACCCAAACAAAATTATGGTTAGGTCTAAAAAAGCAAAGCTGTCTCAAAAGTTTACCTAAAATTGTCACTGAATTTTATATATTTTTAACAAAATAATAAAAATGATTAAATTTATTATTTTTCAAAAAAAATATTTTTTAATTTAGGGCTTATTTATTTATTTAAAATTAGAAAATAGAATTTGTAAAATAATAATTTTTTTAGAATAAATCATAATCAAAAAGAGTTTTATACTCCAACAATTTCAAAAATTTTATATTATCAACAATGAGATTGAGCCCTCAAAGCAACAAAAAACATGAAAACGAAATCAAGCATATTTGTTTTCTTCAAATTTTATTTTCATAAAATTTGAAATATATTTTTGAATTATGAAATTGCAATAGTTAGTCATTGCAGCAAGCAAATCCTTCACGCCTTCGC